AAATTACTTTTTCCTAACTGAAATTGAATATTGATTAAAAAAAACGAAGAACTAAAACAAAAGATTTAACTTTTAGATTAAAATTAAGATGAAAGATGAAAGAAAAGTTTCTTCCGGAGTTCTTGATTTATTAAACATTTGTTCTTTTCATAATTTTACCGTTTACTACCAATGGCGAAGACAAGATATTGGATTCATCTAAAAAGGGTACTTTAAGTGACGTCAAACCAGAGGAAAACATCAATCAATTGAGATAGGGGCGTGTTCCAAAAATATCTAATTAATCATCATTGCCGACGAAAGTTGAACTGGTGAGAACTCTTTTGTCAGCTAGTTCCCGAAAGAAGAGACTTTTATTTGACATTTCTTCAAAAAATATTCATTTCTTTATTCATGTAATGACTTTTTTTCCCTTCTTTATTATTATAAGAATAATTTTAAATATCATTTATTTTTTTCCCCCCAAAGAACATAAATTTAACTAATAAAAAGATTTTATAAATTTCAAAAAGTTTGTGGACCATTTAAGGTTCAAGATATATGTCGGACCTCTATTTAACGAAGTCTCTTTATCCAGATAATAAGTTCGTTATATGGAAAATTCGCAAAATAGAAAACCACCTTCTAAAATACTAAAGCAACACAAAACAGGTTTTAAATTCATAAGCATTNTATATATATATAATTTTGGCAGACAACTCAACTCCGTAAAGAAGTATACATTTATAATAAAAGTTCCTAATACTTTTAGGGTATCAAATTTTACTAATAATTAATTTGTTAATATAATCATGAAATATAGCACTCCTGCAACAACTTGTTTTGGGTCAGGGATGTTTAGGACGTTAAATCTGCACAATTTCGCAACCAACGGCGCGATTGTGGTAATGTACAATAATGATAATAATATATTATGTGAAATAAATCAATAAAATGTTGATAGATCCAGATAAAGATCTACCTATAAAAAAGTATGAAAAAAACTTGTAAACGAATCTCCTAATAAAAAATAAACTAAAAAAAAGTATGAAAATAAAAAAGTTGAAAATTCACCGTCCAAGCAAGTCAAGAGAAAAATTTATTTGATATGATACATATTCTTTCTAAGAAGACGCTTTCGAACTTTAAATAAATTGTTTTTGCTAGTGTTCCTTTAGTCCCGCGAAGCTACGAGTTTTCGAAAAAAACATTTTTTAGAATATTATGGGACCATGTGATTGCCTTTCATCAACGAAAAAAAATACATCTTTAGGAGATAGTTTCAATTAACAGATTTAATTTACGAACAGTTCAATATATTGAGCAATCTTCGAATAAACTGAATAAATTAAGCTCTATTCGAAAATATGCGTCGAAATTCGACCCACCATTGATATATTTGTCAACGTTTTCGGTGTTAAGGTAAACTAAATTTTTGACACATTTCATCTAATTTTCCCTGTCATATTTTTATTTACTTTATTTGCTAATTTTTTGTTTGTTTATTTAGCGACAACACATATTTTCGCTCACATTTGGAATTCATTTTTGGCTTCGTAGCAAAAATATTTCATTTGCAAAACAAGCACATTTTTAGAGATATATCTGCCCAACTCTTTCAAAAAATTATTATTTTGTCAATGTTACATATTTTTTTACCCGATTACTAAAGTTCTGCACTTAAAAATGTATTTAAGTTATCTCATTACCAAAAATGGTGGCAATTTTACATCAAAACATTTTACAGTAGCCCTGATCAAATTTAGGGTGCTGTCTCTTATAGTATAAAAGGGGTGATAATACTACGTAAAAAGTTTAATAATGGATAAGATCAACGATTTCAACAACCTGTTTTCTAACCATATAATGTTGATTTTTTTTCTACGATTAAATATTGCTAATCACGAAATCAGTCACAAGATCAGGTTTTGTCAGCACAGGTTTCAGGAAGGGGTTGATTCATTTGTTTAATATCTATAAATAAATCCTTTTTAGTTTGAAAAAAGAGCCGTGGTAGCCCAATTGTTAGAGAGTCAAACTCTGGTCTCGAGTGGTCTGGTTTCGATCCTCGGGGTAGATGCGATAATAAGGGTAGATGTATCGAATAGATGCGATATACATGCTCGTAAAGCCTGCGGAATCAAAAGTATTATCATTGGTCTCTGAGCATGCCACGGTTAAAAAGATTTGGAGCAAATTTCTTTCCTTTTTAGATCTGTGTATAGTTATAGGAAGTGGCAACAAGATTGTGTGGTGCTGCCATCTACCAGGAAGGTTCTGAGCTAGGACGTACTTTCATCCTGGTGGTACTCTCTAGTTAAACGAAACTCGCGCCTTCTTGACTTGATTAGCAAGAAGTCAATGGCTGGCGAACTTGGTTTGTCCAAGTGTCATTAGAAAGAAACAACAACACAAATAGTTTTAAAAAATATTTAAAAAGTTTTCTAAAATGATCAAATACTTGAAAAATTTATAAATCAATTGAGTTAGTTTTAGTAATCTCCTTGGAAGACTTTTCTGATTAAGCTGTAGTTGCAGTTGTTTACTTATGTCGCATCAGAGCTGCACAATAAGCTATTGGCGGCTGTTTGGGAAACATCCTTTTGGATGATCCAAAGACATGCTATCGCAATTTTGGTTCTTTGCGGAGATGATGATTCCCCTCTTTGGTAGCACAACGACCTGAGTGCGAAGTCAAGCGCTTTACGGTAGAACAGTTTAATGGGGACCGATACCAGACAGTCTCGGTCTTTTCGTAGCCAGACGAAATTGGTCACTTATTTCAACAGTGATGTTTAACTTAGGTGTTTTACTGGAAGCCGTGTCTTACGATTAGTCCACTGTGGGACACTTTTTTGTTGAACCTTCGCAATAACCGTTTCTGTTTTCATAAAGCTATAAGGAACCTTTCCATTAATGAATGATTTCAAACAATAAATTGGCGAAATTAAAAGACGTGAAAGGAATCACTGAACACGAACTTACTCTATTAATGATAATAATTCATAAAATCGGATGCCTAAAAGTATATAGTGGTAGTCGTATTGTCGTAAAGCTAATATATTATTATAGGTTTCTTGACAACAAACTATAAGAATATAAGCGAAATTGAGTAGATTTTTAGTGGGATCTACTCCTTCACTCAATTCAAAATTAGCACTTTTATACCGTAGGCTAATTTTAAAAAAATCAACTCTTTGCAAATGTTACAGACTTTTGGTAATGCTCCCCTCTACTCAAAATCTTCATCTTTTTAGAACCCGTCTTAAATATTTAGGGTTATTACATTCAACCTACAAGCCAGTAGGCTAATAAGGAAATGTGCGAAGAATTATCAAATCAATCTGAATTTAAATTGAGAGCACTTTATTATTATTATTGTTATTATTTACAAGAAAAGGTACAAACAGACAATAAATAGTTCAGTTACCTGTGATCACATGGTTCATATTCATAACCATAAAAGCTATTAATATTAAATTCACACAAAGAGATTAAAAAAAGACAACACATTAAACTAAAAATGGACTAAAATACAATGCATAACAACATACAATTGGCTAACGGGGTGCTGTTCAATATATGTAAAAATTTGCTGTCACTTCATTTTGTGAAACATACAGGGAGTAATATAAAGTTTAAAGGGAATCTAAATATCGTCAATTGTGAAGAAAAAAATCATTTTAATTTCCGCTTGAAAGCGCCTTTGTTCGGAGCGTTCAGCAAATCAGTGGGAATGTTATTGAAGAATTGAGAAGTTAAATATCTGAAGTCCTAGCAAAATGTATTTTTGTGAGGTATCGGTATTTGTTATATTTCATTATTTTTTCGTGGGTTAATACTTCATATAATACTTTCCTTTTTTGCACTCATTTGGATTCATTTATAGAAGCAGATTTTATGGAAAAAATATGACGAATCAAAAAACTGCTTAAAGATTTGGAATGGATAATAGTCTTTACCATATTTTTGTGAGATATCAGTATTTGTTATATTTCATTAGGTTTTGGTGAGTTAATACTTCATGTAAATATTTTCCTTTTTTGTACTCATTTGGATTCATTTATAGACAGATTTTATAGAAAAAAATATGACGAATCAAAAAATGCTTAAAGATTTGAACTGGTTAATATTCGTTAGCATATTTTTGTTAGATGTCGGTATTTGTTATATTTCATTAGGTTTTCGTGGATTAATACTTCCTATTAATACTTTCTCTTTTTGCACTCATTTGTATTCATTTATGGAGACAGATTTCTATAGAAAAAATATTACGAATCAAAGAAAGGCTTAAAGATTTGAAATGGTTAATATTTTTCACTATTTCTCACCATATTTTTGTAAGATATCGGTATTTGTTATATTTCATTAGGTTTTCGTGGGTTAATACTTCATGGGTTAATACATGCGAAAAAACCTAGAAATAATATTGGACTGCTACAAATGTTTGATTAAACTGTATTTTAAGTGATAAAAATTATAAATTAAAACTCCTTATTTATTCGACACATGGCTAACATGAGATTACCATTTAAGGTTTGAATCAATGCGTAATTCAAAATACTTTATCAACTTAACTTTTTCGATGGATTTGCAAGCGCATGCTAAATTGAAATTAAAAGCAATCTCATGGATAATAAATATATTAATGACGGCTTCTCAAAAAGATTTTTTTTATCAAAAACCACATATGTTGTTTTATCGATGTTCAGATTTAAGATGTTGATCGATCTTGATCTTTGGCTTATTATAATAAACCTTTCGACAATAAGCCTTTACAACTCGGAACTTATTACGGAAATCCTGAAATAAATTACGGTAGCTGAACAATGAATAATATATTTTCTCATAAGCGTAAAGATATCTAGGCAACTATCAATAAGAATAAAAAGTGTCAAGCTAATTATAAAATACTGGAACATGGAAAAAATGGCAGTGGCTGTTCTCATAGTTTCAGCCTGACGAAATAAAATTTTCGATCTTAATTTATATTTAAACTGTAGAATATTTTAAGATTTTACCTTAAATTGCCAGTGTTGTCTCCTCCAAATTATTTCAATTTTCAAACACCCACTTAGGAGCAACTGCGAATAATATCCACACCTATTTGAACAAAATGAAACAATTAGAAGTGAAAAAAAAAGCTTTCCATTATCTTAGCTTGGCAATTTTTCATAAGAAAAAAATTATGATAATTTAAAAGTACAATATCAAATGATTGAGTCAAATATATAAAGATGAATTGTAAAAATTCTTGGAAAATATGAAAATATACACCGAATTTGAAAAACATTAATGCATATTGTTGCACTAAATAAAAGCTTTAAATACTTAAAGCTTACAATGCACACTTGCAGTTACCTTAAAACATGTCAGAAATTTTATTACCATCTTCGTTATGTATGTAACTTAAATGTGTTTTAATTTAGCGATCAATATGAAGATATCTGCGTTGAAACTAAACAATGTCAGTGAAATTCGGAAAACACAATGGTCTAATAACGCTTATAACAAACCATCTCTCAACTGTCATAGAATCTTCTGGATAATTACTTAATTTTTAAACAATGTCACGCAATGCTGTTAACATGTTGCTCGTAGATCATGAAACTTTGCATATTTTCATTTGAGGATATCCTGTTAAACCTTAAATAGTAAATGAAAAAAAAAGCTTAGAATTTCTAAATTTGAAATGGAAAACGATATATTGCGTGATATTAATAGGTAAAATAGATGAATAAGTGTTCTACAGAATTAATCAATAATTTCAGTGACCTATTGAATAACTTATTCAAAACCATATAGATAAAATTAAGCAGCAAAAGTTCTACAGACACAATGTATGTTGTATACTTCTAAAGGCTGGTGATAAATTATAGTAAAATGTTATTAAATTTTATAAAAATTTTTTGCTTAAAGAAAACCAAGCTTGTCATCGTTTGAATAGCTATTAAAATCCTTTTTTCTCTTAAATTTCAGTTAAATATGATTGTTTACCTCTATTTTTGTCTCTACACAGTGACTTAAATAAAAGGTAGATACATTTTAAAAGAGTATAAAAATCGAGACTTATCAACCAATAAAAATAAGCTTCTGTAGACCTATTAAATCCGGCTTTATATAAATTTTAAATACATTTTAAAAATGACTTGAAAAAATATTTTAACCCCAAACTTAACATTATACTTAAACCTAAGTGTCTATATTCAAAGAAAAACAATAATTAGGAAGATTGTGGATGGATTATTACCTTTAACTGTGAAACATGACGCCCGGCTACGCAGTCTGGCTTCTGTTTTTCGCCGTCACTACTTAAAGGCCGTTCTCACTGCTTACAAAAAATTCTTGGAAGCGAATTAGGAGATGCGAGCGACAATCTGATTAACAAGATTTCACGGGTGGGTATAATTAACTAATCAGGTTCTCATTCGCATCAGATAATTTTCTGCATGCAGTGAAAACGACTCCTTACTATTCTGACAATTTGCGACAGTTTGCTCAATCCATGTCAGGAGAATATGAACTGCGCCATATTTTTTTTTTTTCATTTATATCAATGCTTCATCATAACTTGAACTTTTTAAAAAATATTGTCAAATTGGATGATAAAAAATTTACATTGATGTTCTCTCTTAAGATATAAGCCACTCCGGAGTCACCTAAAATCGTGCTTTTGTAAATCAAGTTTATACCTCACATAGAACCGTGGTGGCTCATGGGATAGAGCCCTCGTCTTCCAATGAGCTGAAACGGGTTCGAATCCGAGAGATGGTAGGTCGATTCAAATTCCGCAATCGACTCACACCGACCACATCGCTGCATCATAAAATATCCTCAATGGTAGACGGATCATGGGTTAGAGTCTCCTTGACGTCAGGCTAACCGTGAAAGGAATTCGTTGTTTTCTTCTCCACGTCAGCAGTGGACTGGTCGTTAAGACACGGTTCCCAGCAGATCACCGAAGTCAAGCGTCACTGGCTGCAGTCAGTGTGCGGGTGGGTGACCACTTGGATNAGCAGATCACCGAAGTCAAGCATCACTGGCTGCAGTCAGTGTGTGGGTAGGTGACCACTTGGATCAATCTGCGTAGGGACCGAGGGTGTGCGGTATTGATCCTCGTTAAACTGTTCTACCATAAAGTGCTGGCCTTCGCTTGCAGGTCGTTGGGCTACCGAAGCGGGGATGCCATCCCCTCTGCAGAGGATCAAAACAGTGATGGCATGACTTCGGATCATCCTCAGGGATGTTTCCCAGACAGTTGCCAATAGCACATTTTGCTGCTCTTGGGCGACGCAAATGAACTACAACAGCAACATCTCCGTGGATTAGTGGATTAGTTCCATCAAAAAGTCCTAGCGAAGGCAAATTTCTCTCATTAATTGATCCAGGAGCTCCCTTGTCTTCTGATTCGGGTTCGCAATTACAAGGATACGGAGTTGAACATTGGTAGACGTGAACTCTAAATTAGATTGGCTGTTCCACAACGATTTTAAAATAAAATATCTTACTTAACACGCGGTTTATATATAACTTTTTTTTAATGGTTGAAAAAGTTCAAACCATGTCAAACATCTCGATAACATTTTTGATTGGATCAAAACCTTATAAGTGAAAAGGAAAAAAAATTCTAAAAGTCAGCTAAAAGAGAAATAAATGGACCAAATAAACTCGAAAAAAGGCTCGAGGAATAAAAGCAGTAAGGCAGGAACTTTGAGTTTATAGTTGAGATCTTGGAATTCTTTTAAACAACAAGCCAACAAATAAAACTCTAAAAGGTATGAGATTTCAACTTTTCAAAAGGAAAAAAAATAAGAAAAAAAAGAACTCTGTAAGTTGAATACTTGTTAAGTTGACTGAAACTAACAACCGTGGAACCAATTTTAGTGATTTCGTTTGAGTTTTGATGTAAAAAATAGGAAATATCAAGAGTTCAAGTATTTTGGTAGAAAAGAATTTTTAGATAAGGAATTGAAATGTTTTTGATTTTTAAATCCAGTATGTAAGGGCAATCAAATAGAAGCTATTTTTTTTAAATAATTTTTAAATAGAAAATTAAAAAATATTAATTTTTGTTTAATGAAATGGGAATCATTTTCTTTAAACATATTTTAGTAGTCTACAAATCAGGAAGATAAAAGCATTGCAGAATAGTGTCAATTAAATGATGATCAAATGGAAAGAATGGTTTCTGACCATTTTTCACAAAAATAACCATTGATTACTAACCGTTACACTTTGAGGGTCGTGCTGAAGAAAAACGGTTCTTGTCCGTCATTTTTTCACAAAATCAGTTTTCATGCACATGAACCGTTCTTCCTCTTTGATCTTGAAATAAAACAACAAAAATAGACAAATCAACTATAAATGGTACTTCTTTTTTAAATTATCCTGACTGGTGGAAGTTCTAAGACCGGTTAAATCTTAATAACCTAGACGGTTAGAATAGAAAAGTAAACAAATCTTTTTAATAAATAATCCCAAAATTAAAACGAATTTTAATACTACATACTAGAGACGTGGTGGCTTAGGAGGAAAAACGCTCGCCTTCCAATGAGGTGAATCGGGTTCGAATCCCAGCGATGGTTGGTCGATAAGAAATTCCACACCCAGCTAGCACCGACCACAATGCTGACGTAAAATATTCTCACTGATCATGGGTTAGTGACCCCTTGCCATCAGGCTGAATGAGGGTTTTTCGTGGTTTTCTTCTCCATATAACGCAAATGCGGGTTAGTTCCGTCAAAAAGTACTCCACGAAGATAAATTTCTCCTAAAACTTGATCCAGGAGTTCCCTTGTCTTCTATATTGGGTTCAAAATTACAAGGCTACAGAGTAGAACATTCGTAGTAAACCAGAGTAAACCAAAAATTGACTCGGCTGTTTAACGCCACTTATAAAATGACAGCTCAGAGAGCCGTGGTGGTTCAGGGTATAGAGCGTTCGTCTTCCAATGAGGTGAACCGGGTTCGAATCCCAGCAACGCTTGGTCGATTCAAATTAGGCACCCCGTTCTTACAGACCACAGTGTCACGTAAAATATGCTCAGTGATCATGGGTTAGATTCCCTTTGCATCAGCTGACCGTTAGAGGGTTTAGTGATTTTTCCTCTCCGTGTAACGCAAATACAGGCTAGTTCCATTAAACGGAGGCAAATTTCTCCCAATACTTGATCCAGGAGTTCCCTTGTCTTCTGAATTTGGTTCAAAATTACAAGGTTACGGAGTTGCACGTTTGTGGTCTTAAGCCCAAAATTGGGTCGGCTGTTTGACGATGGTTATAAAACAAAATGAAATAAAATAACAGCTCAGTGCCTTAACTGACCCATCACGAATCGAAATGTGATTTAAAATAAAGATTAAATATTTTTAAGTGTGTGAAAAGATTGTTTTAATTTTTATGTCCTTCAAACTGACAGTAAACAAATGATGAGTTTTTTTTTCACTTTTTATATGAAATCTGCTTTAATTTCACTTATACTTAATAATCTTAATATTATTTGCGATTTAAAATCAATATAAATAAGAGGTAGAATACTTTCACTTATATAACGTCAATTAAATGATAATATATTATTTTAATCATAAATAGAAAAAAAGAAGGCATTTTTATATTAATATTATATGTTATGATTCCAAAATAGTTAACTTTAGGTTATAGTAATGTATCAAATAATGAAAATTAAGGTATCTATGATAAGCAAAACTGAAATGTTACTCGTGTGTTAACAAGAGAAAATAGCAAAACATTCCCACAATTTCCTCTTGCAAACCAAAGGAGTCTTGCGAATTTAATAAATCAGTAGTTTATTCATATTGTTGGAGCCTTGGACATAAATTTAACTTTGATAAACTCAAAATATTTCATCCTGTCCCTTCACTTGATCTTAATGCTCTGAAATCTTGTTTCATTCATATGAGTGACGATTCCCAAGTTAACGAGATGAGTTTCTCACCCTTCTACCCTACAGCACTCAGAAATGCCTTCCTGCCTTGATTCGCTTTCCTCGATTATTACGGGTTTTATAGCTTTTTTTCAACCTTTATTTTATTTTTAATTTTTTTTCAGTAGTTGCAAATAACTTTTTTAAGAACGAGGCCATTTC